ATAAATCAATGACAAAATAAATAAAAAGAGACAAATTTATTTCACCTAAAGAAGAAGATGAGCGGATCCCTCTGGGTGTGTACAGTCACCTGTCAGCTGCTGCTGCTGCTGCTGCTGCTGCTGCTGCTGTTGCTGCTGCTGCTGCTGCTGCTGCTGCTGCTGCTGTCTGTGTGTTTTATAAAAATATTTATATTTGAGTTTTCTGCTGTTACTCTTCGTTGCTACCAAATGGAGACAAAGGGTTAGACAATTTCATTGGCTGCAGCAGCAGCAGCAGCAGCTGCTGCTGCTGCTGTGTCTTGATGCCGTTAGATAGAAGCTAGCTTACTCTTAACAATTAGGGTTTAGGGTTTAGGTTTTTGAGGGTTTAGGGTTTAGGGTTTAGGGTTTAGGGTTTAGGGTTTAGGGTTTAGGGTTTAGGGTTTAGGTTTTTTAGGGTTTAGGGTTTAGGGTTTAGGGTTTAGGGTTTAGGGTTTAGGGTTTAGGGTTTAGGGTTTAGTTTTAGGGTTTAGGGTTTAGGGTTTAGGGTTTAGGGTTTAGGGTTTAGGGTTTAGGGTTTAGGGTTTAGGGAGGGTTTAGGGTTTAGGGTTTAGGGTTTAGGGTTTAGGGTTTAGGGTTTAGGGTTTAGGGTTTAGGGTTGTTTAGGGTTTAGGGTTTAGGGTTTAGGGTTTAGGGTTTAGGGTTTAGGGTTTAGGGTTTAGGGTTTAGCGAGACGTGCAGGCGACCGTGCAGAGCGAGCAGCTGAGGTGTACATACACCTCAATTAGTTTTTTTTTATTTTTTATTTTTTTTTAATTTAGTTTTTGTTTTTAGTTGTTTTTTTACTTCTGCTGCAGCAAGAAGACAATATATGCTGCTGCTGCTGCTGCTGCAGTTAATGCAGCAGCAGCAGCAGCAGCAGCAGCGACAGCAGCAGCAGCGGGCGCGCAACAGCAGCAGCAGCAGCAGCAGCAGCAGCAGCAGCAGCAGCATGTGGCAAGAAGGCAGCAGCAGCAGCAGGAGTGTAAATAAAGCATAGAAGAAAAAACTGCGGTGTACACACCAAGTCAAAAACTTTCTCTAGGGTTTAGGGTTTAGGGTTTAGGGTTTAGGGTTTAGGGTTTAGGGTTTAGGGTTTGTGAAGATGGAAATAAAAAAAATAAAAGTAAAAAACCCCATTGTTGAGATGGATGGCGATGAGATGGCGAGAGTACTCTGGCACTGGATAAAGGAAAAGGTAAACCCTAAACCCTAAACCCTAAACCCTAAACCCTAAACCCTAAACCCTAAACCCTAAACCCTTGTTTGTGTGTTTGTTTTGTGTGTTTGTTTTTTGGAGGGGTTAAGTTTGCATGGTTTTGTTTAGGCGGTGTATGTGTGTACTAGGGTTTAGGGTTTAGGGTTTAGGGTTTAGGGTTTAGGGTGTGGGGTGTATGTGTAGTTGTTGTGTGCAGCTGTTTCAGGGTTTAGGGTTTAGGGTTTAGGGTTTAGGGTTTATATTTGGTGTGTATATAGTGTTGTTGTTTTCTGTGTTTAGTTTATGGTGTATATTGTTTATTTAATTATTACTTATTGTATTCTACTATACAAGGGTTTAGGGTTTAGGGTTTAGGGTTTAGGGTTTAGGGTTTGGGGTGTATATGCAGCTAATATTAAAATATATAGATATACCTATTGAATACTACGACCTCAGCATACACCACAGAGACGCTCTCTCTCTCTCTCTCTCTCTAGGGTTTAGGGTTTAGGGTTTAGGGTTTAGGGTTTAGGGTTTAGGGTTTGGGGTGTATATGCAGCTAATATTAAAATATATAGATATACCTATTGAATACTACGACCTCAGCATACACCACAGAGACAAAACAAACGATGCGGTGACGAGAGAAGCAGCAGAAGCACTAAAAAAATATAAAGTAGGCGTCAAGTGTGCTACTATAACCCCCGATGAAGCCAGAGTCAAAGGTAAACCCTAAACCCTTGAAAACCCTAAACCCTTGAAAACCCTAAACCCTTGAAAACCCTAAACCCTAAACCCTTAAAATAGAATATTTAGATAATAAAAGAGAGCTAGCAGCTCGTTTTTCTTCTCTTTATATCCTTTTTTTTACACTCTTGATGGTTTCTCTCTCTCTTTCTCTCTCTCTAGGGTTTAGGGTTTAGGGTTTAGGGTTTAGGGTTTAGGGTTTGTGTGCAGAGTTCGGGCTCAAAGAAATGTGGAAATCCCCAAACGCTACAATCAGAAACCTCCTCGGCGGCACCATCTTCAGGTGCCCTATACTCGTAGACTCTGTAAACCCTAAACCCTAAACCCTAAACCCTAAACCCTAAATATTAAACCCTAAACCCTAGATATTAAACACTAAACCCTAGACCCAGAAACCTCCTCGGCGGCACCATCTTCAGATGCCCTATACTCGTAGACTCTGTAAACCCTAAACCCTAAACCCTAAACCCTAAACCCTAGATACTAAATACTAAATACTAAACACTACACCTAAGACCCTAAACCCTAAACCCTAAATACTAAGCACTAAACCCTATACCCTTCTGCTGCTGCTGCTGCTGCTGCTGCTGCTGCTGCTGCTGCTACTGCTGCTGCTGCTGCCGCTGCTGCTGCTGCCGCTTCTGCTGCTGCTGCTGCCGCTCCTGCTGCCGCTGCTGCCGCTTCTGCTGCTGCTGCTGCCGCTACTGCTGCTGCTGCTGCTGCTGCTGCTGCTGCTGCTGCTGCTGCTGCAGGTGCCGCGGCTAGTACCCTCTTGGAAAAAACCTATCATTATAGCCCGCCATGCTTTTGGTGATCAGTATAAAGCAAAAGATTTTGTTGTTGAGAAAGAAGGAAAAGTTTTTATTACTTTTACACCCAAAG